AATGACTTTTGACATTATATTACTTATAGACGTTATATTTGACATCTCTCTATACCGTACACTATAGATATTCAGTATATTTGTGTACATTATATACATTTATACATATTATATCTAGTTTGAAATTCCAATGGTTATGTACTTAACTGGTGTGCGTTATCTGTACCAGTATTGCTCCCCAATAGCCCCCCAAACACGTACCCCTACGTCCCCCTCAAATTTTTAGTATACATTGAATACTGGAAAAACATTTTAACCATTTATTTGTCGCAAACAATTTTTGCGGAGAAGAAAACTACACTAATCTACGGATATCTTAATTTTGGATCTCTTTTAGTAAAGTATTTAAAAATTTTGAGTACATTTTGTCGGTAGAAATGGGAGACAGAATGTGGAGAGAGAGAGAGAGAGAGAGAGAGAGAGAGAGAGAGGATTGTAGAGGACTGGCAGCTGAGACATGCACTCACATGTTGTACAGACACAGTCTTTCTCCATATCTTTGCCTAATAAACGCGGCATTGATTTCACTTATGCTCTCAATTATTATTAATTGTATTAAAATTACATTTTATATTGAAATGAGTGCATAGAAAGTGACAATTAATGACAATATGTTTTCCAATTAAACTATTTTACAATTGAATGCCATATAATGTCATTGATCTTCTATTGTCTGTTCAACACATGTGAACGTTATGTCTAAAAACTTATTTACTATTATTATTTAATTCTAACCGAGAGAGAGAGAGAGAGAGAGAGAGAGAGAGAGAGAGAGCCAAGTGATCGGCTATTTTTAAAAACAGTCTGTTTTGGTGAGCAATGTATTGACGGAACTGTGCATTGGGTTAAGTTTTTGTGGTGCAAGTAATATGACATTCATATAAAGCAATGCATTGATTGTATGTTTGCATCAATGGATGTATAGATGTTTTAAGGCATTCCTGCACTGAATTGACTGAATTGACTGAATCTACATTTCCAGACAGAATTATATGCATTCACACAAAAGGTTGGGTTCGCACAGACGGACGGCCTTAAGACGAGAGAAGGTGAACACAAACCCTTGCGTTCTCCTCTTTTTTCTTTTATTTGCAATAAAAAGACAATTCAAAAAAGTATAGTCGAAGAGAGAGAGAGAGAGAGAGAGAGAGAGAGAGAGAGAGAGAGAGACCGAGAGGAGGGCAGACACCTGCGTAAGACTTGGTGTCCCTGTTATCAAATACTGTACTCCTTATCCCATATTGAAAATAAAGTTTAGTTTCGGTATAGTTATGGATTTGGTTGTAGAGTAGGGGATAACCCGATGCTTGACATAAGGCCGGAAGTATAGCCAAGAATATTATTTCTCACGAATTGACGACTTTTTGTATTCAATTTTTACTTCTATTGAGAATATGTGAGAGAAATGTTCGCGAAAAACAGTTTTCGTACCATTTTATATACCCTTTCCCTCCCCTCTCTCTCAGAATAGCTCTCCTTAAAGTGGAGGGCTTTCCTTCTTTTATGTGAGTTTTTTGCTTTCAGATTACAATACATTTTCACATAACTTATATGTTTGTCTCTCTTCGTGTCTCTCATAACTTATTTACTATATATTTAGCTTATTATTGATAAAGTGTTTTATATTGGACTCGACTTTACTGCCAAAACATTGGGTGTGCGCTCTCTTAGCTCTATTGACGACTCACTATATTCTGCTATTTCTTCGCACAAAAAATAATTAAATTTTATGAGAGAAACAGAAGACAACGTTAGATGTAATATAATTTAATTGCAAATATATTCCAATCAATATTACTATTAACTCTTTGCTAATACTGTATATACTTTATATATATTTATTTAAATGCAGTATTTTGTCAAACATTAAATAGCATAAATGCTTTAAGTCTAACAAATATTTTAGATATTAATAATTTATATATTTAGTACTAATGTCGGGCCAGCCCTTCACTCATTGTCTTTGAATTTGTAAAATAAAACTCAAAGTAAAGAAAAAATATGCAAAAAGGAAATTAAGAAAAACGTTAAACCCTTTCGATGGGAGAAGAAAGTAATACTTTTACATAAATTGTATAATAAATACTGTATATTATTTTCGTAACAATAGTCTATTTGCTATTAAATGCTATTAAATAGCATTTTATCCCAGATTTGGAAAATAGGAAACTTTTTTTTAATATTTCATTTAAATAATGTTAAAAATGAATTTTGAGTAAAACTAATAAAAACAGATTTATTTTGCAAATCTGTTGAACTCTACTGTATATATCATCTGTTGTTTAAAAATACAATTTTACTCTTTATTATATAAATTTTATATAATATTATGTCATAAATCAATTCAATAAACAATTTATCAAATACTGGGGAAAACAAGTCTATTTGAATGGAAAAGGTTTTTATCCGCAAATTATTGAATTTATCGATTCGTTAAATAATAATAATATATCTGTTAAAAGACTATAACTGGAGAGCTGTGACTGACTGATGAAAATTTAGCACAACTTTTCAATCAAAAAATATAAATAATGTGACGCTTTCTCACTCCTATTAGGGATCCGATGATTACATTTTGTGAGAAAAAACTCACACTTTTCTCGTTTTTAATGCATTTTAAAATATTTTTAAACATATAATCGAAAAAGTGTTAAATTATTGTAATTTGAGGAAGTTTTCGTGTAATCATATTTATTCAATCGTCAAACCTTTAGTTTAAACATTATTTACACATTCAATATATACTCAAAATGTATTACAATTTTAATATAATTAAAAATATATATGTTTTCCCTAAAAGAGTTCAACATTTCATGTAATATTTCTATCATAAGCTTTTAATCATATCTAAAATACTGTTTGTTTATACAATTAGAGTCCAATTGAGCTGAAAATCGAAATTTGTATTAATATTTCTTAGAAATGCATTCAATTAGTTGTTAGTGTAATGTATAAATGGATGACATTTTTTGGTGTATATGTTTGGATGAGTGGGTGAGAGGGAGAGAGATATGGTTAGAGATGTGGTATGAATAGAGAGTAGAGTACGGCTAACGGCGTTCATAACTGTGCGGCTTATGTTCGTAGGAATGGTAGGATTGGGTGCTTCCGCTAAATCATATGCATTGCACACATATTCACACATTTAAATAATATTAGAGTTAAGCCTTGCCTCCGGACACATCACTGATTCCCAACTAATCGCTGTAATGCCAGCGCTTTCTGGTCGGCGCTCATAGTCATAGTCATAGTGATAGTCAAAACTCAAATCAAGTGATAATATAGCGGAGAAGATGGTAGTTATGGTGCGATATTTTGTTGTGCGTTAATATTACTACTAGTGATGGTAGTGTTGGTTGTGTTTGGGTATGTCGGGGGAAAGGTATGGTATGGTATAGTGTGGTTGATATGGTATGTTGTGATGCGGTATGGATTGGTATTTGATGGCATGAACAGCTCAACAGCCATTTCAATGACCCACCGACACGACAAGAGCCAATACACAGCAAAAAACAGGTACATCCCATCTCTGGTCGATGTCTTCCGGGTTGTGAAATGGGGTCACAACACGTCATTCCCCGCACTCACAGCCCAGAGTTCGCTGACCTACTCCTCACACACACATCGACTCCGTTTGTCTGCGCTCTCACACCGACTCCCAGTCGCAGATGTTTCGCACAAAACATTACAAATGCATACAAATATATACACACAATACAGTATATGCCGTATCATATGATATTCACATACTTTGCCACAACTTTATGCACTCTTCTTGTAATAGTCTTGTGTCGTATGAATGACGTAATGCCCGGACCTGTGATGGAGTTATCCCTTAAGAGTCTGACTCCAACACAACAACCTCTAAGTCCATACCATATCTCGTATGCCATTAACAGCACATCCACTCAATCCTATTCCTAGAGCCAACACTAATGCCATTTAAATTCATTGCAAACCATGCAATCCATACCTAATTATTGATTTAATCAAAACCCGTATTAATAAATAACTTCTTATAATAAAGTCCATTGAATCCGTTCTTTATATGAGAGACGAACAAAATAATCAATTTTATTCATTTCAGTCATTTTTATTACATTATAATTCATTCACAAATAGACTAATGAATTCTCACACATTAAGAATATTATTCAAAGCTTTGCTGAACCTAATATTTATTTACCACTTTTTACCATAATTTGTAATCGTTTTATAAAACCCTTATTTTAAATGAAATTAAATTTAATGAAAACATGATTTTTGAGGATTTTTTCAAATGACTTCAAATTTTGTTTATGAAATTTCTTGAAATAAAATATATTTTTATTTTTATTGAAGATTTAAAACACAGTTGATTTTATTACATATTTTTTTGTAAAACAGTCTTAAGATAATATTAGTATAAAAATATTACTATTGTATTAATTGCTTTAAACTGAAACTAAAAAATATAATTTTGATATTTTCATACATTTCATAGTAATTGTAGTATAATATCTAGATATTAGTACTTTTGACGGCAATACATATTTTCATATATAATTCATAATGTTTTTGTTGAGAAATCAATAATTATTCAAATGATATCTTCTGAAATACAAATTACAATAATGAAAATACAGTTATTATTGGATAGGTTTAGTGATGAGATCCCAGTCCGGGTACACCTGACCAATAATTGACAATACATTTGACAAAAACTGTGATTTTATTTGTTAAGAATTAAATATAGCTTTAGGTTAAAAGTTAAAAATAAGGATCTATTCTCTACAGAGAGTACTGTATAATCTCGATATACTGTATATACTGTAAGGCATAGCACTGTATTGGACTCGGATTCCGGAGCTTATAATAGCATCGGTTCTCTTCACTCGATAGCCAATGAATCAGTGAATGAGAACCGAGTGTTTCATTCATTCAACACTTAACTCTCGTGTCAAATATTTGTTTCAATTTCTGAGAAAAAAGTAGTGATTGTTTTAATTGTGTCCCAAAGTATGTTTATAATGGATGTCTTGAGTCTAATCAATGACTTCGACCCTCGCATCAGTCAAAACTACAACACTTTTGGTCCCATCAAAGGTTTTATTCGCTATTTTTCGCATAATTACTATTATTTTATTGTATTTTCTCGTATTTTTATGGCAAATATGTTTGTCATATAATTCTCATGAATTTTATATTTCCAAATATTATTGAGAAATTGATTGAAAAAATAACTTTTTTTAATGACAAAAATAACTAAAACTAGAATTTTTGTTAATTTTACAAATTTCTAATTACAGCACAAATTGAAATAATCCCGTGTAAAGTATGTGGCGATAAGTCATCGGGTGTTCACTACGGGGTTATAACCTGCGAGGGCTGTAAGGTATGTGTCCTATCAATGAATTTGCTGTTTAATTAAAAAAGCATTTAATTTGTTTAGTAATTAATAACATTATAATTGTTTTGTAGGGCTTTTTTAGGAGAAGTCAGTCGAGTGTTGTTAACTATCAGTGCCCGCGACAGAAGAATTGTGTGGTCGACAGAGTGAATAGGAATCGCTGCCAATACTGCAGATTACAGAAATGTCTAGCACTGGGAATGTCGAGGGATGGTATGTCTAATCACTTATTTTACCACTCAATCTTGTTATCTGTTAATTAATTGCTAAATAATGGGATTTGCAATGAATTTATGTGATTAGCCGTCAAATTTGGCCGAATGTCCAAAAAGCAGAGGGAAAAGGTCGAGGACGAGGTTCGGTTCCATAGGGCACAACTGGTCCGACCGCCCGGACAGACAACCAATGGAGGACAACCGCCCACTCCGACTACCGTTCCGTCGTCTTATCCCTCGCAGACATCATCGGAAACATCTCCCGATAGCTCTGTACTCGAGCAACAGCCACAACAGCCGTCCTCCTCGAGCCAACACGTGCCCTACAATGCCATCACCAATGGGTATGTCTACCATCATGTTTGCCATTTAACTCGTGGTCAACACTACTATACAATAGCCGTGTCTCCAGTTTTATCTCATCACTCATATAACAAACAATTGATAAATTAGTTCAAAAATGATAGTAAAATAGGAATCAATAATAAAATTAATTATTTGTTTATAGATTTCCGTAATTGTCGGCAAATATTGTTTTAAAGCTTTTTTCATATTATAAATACAATTCAGGACACGAGAGATAATATTGTGATTAAATATTTAAATACAATCCTTCCTCTTAGAGAAGACAACAGTTATTTTTCATGTCCTGTCGAATAGTATTTTGTTTTTCTCATCATTTGTTTTACATTTCGATATCAAAACATTTGGCATTTATTTAAAGCTTAAGATTAGCTGAAAAGCAAAACAAATCAAAACGATGTAAAGCAATGTGAGACAAAAGCTGCTGTACTGTACACACAGTATATATAGCGTATATTCATATATATCCGGGTTATTTAAATATAGGTACACGCCGTACAACAACGGTGACCTCAATGTATATGCGGAGAAATACACGCCCTCTGTGTATACCTATACACCACAGGGAATGGCAACGTTTGACCTCTCGGCCACTACTACCGACTTTGTGGACAGCACTACATTTGAACAACAGAGACAACCCATCGACTCCCTGCCCGACACCAACGGACTCCTATCCACTACAGTCTCACCCAATGCTATCATCAATAGTGCACACTTAGGTACTAACCCATCACATCTCATATGATCTCACATCACATCTTATTATACAATCGATTAACACATTCCGAACAATCTATTCCCGTATTCCTTATCTAAATGTTTAAAATACAACTCATTTATCATTGGTTTTGGTATTAATTATTATAATTAAAAACAGAATTATTGGCCAAAACTGTGTCCGAAGCTCACGCGAGGACCTGTTTGTACACAACTGAACAAATCGTTGATATGATGCGCAAACCCAACGACCAAAATAGGATCATTTACTTCAAAAATCTGGTCAGTTTTCTTGACTTACCATCTCTTCTAAAGATTACTTTTTTGAGTTAAAATAAATGAAAAACTAAATACAATTTTTACACAAATTGCAGTCACACGAAGACCTTTGGCTGGAATGCGCTTCAAGACTGACAAACGTTATTCAGCAGATCATAGAGTTCGCCAAAATGGTTCCCGGATTCATGAAGTTATCTCAAGACGACCAGATTGTACTTCTCAAAGCCGGTCCGATCTCTCTGTATATGAATTAAGATTCATTTGTTTTATACAATTTTTTGCTCAAATTACAGGAAGTTTTGAATTGTGTTGTCTTCGGATGAGTCGATACTTTGATTTATCCACAAAACAAGTATTGTTTGGCGACGGACTTATGCCAAAGGATGCATTCCTCACACAAGGTTTGACATTAAGACAACACATGTCTCTTATTTAACATCTACTCTCATGTGTCTAACAAATAATTAATTGTATTTCGTTTTGCATTGACTTTATAGCAGACATAACTGAATCAAAATTAGTGAACCAATCGTTTGATTTGGCGGAAAGTATTGCAGACTTGAAGCTCACGGAATCAGAGTTAGCGCTATTCTCCGCCTATGCCTTAATATCTCCGGGTTTGTAGACTTTTGTTAACCAAATATGAATTTATGATAACTTGAAACTAATTGTATGTTTGTTTTGGTGTCGCCGATACAGACCGTCACGGCTTGAAAGGCATTGTCGATATCCAGCGTCTCAATCAAGCCATCGTCAAAGCGCTGAGGTTTGAGTTGAGTCGGACTCACGTCAAGCCATTCAAAGGAGATGTCAGTGTTTTCGATGCCCTCATAAATAAGATCCCATTATTGCGAGAGTTAAATATGCTTCACATGGAAGCGCTCTCCAAATTCCGACGCGCCTCTCCTCACATGGAGTTCCCACCCCTTCATAAAGAACTCTTTTCCATTGATATCTAATCCAACAAATTATACGTTTAATTGTTTGGATTCAGACATTCATTTTATGCATCACTGCCTTCATTAAGAATTTTTAAACTTAATTCGACTCTTAATTATACTTTTACTAAAACAACAAAACAATGCGAAAACACAACTCCCGGACTCAACCATCTCTTCTTCGTTACCGAACGCTTCGTTCATATAATTTCTTCACACCTTTTATTCTGAGAGTTTTGTTTTGTATTTCATTATTTGATTTCCAAACTATTTAGAGTGAACTCCTGTTCCACTCTCTCCTATCCTCTCAACTCTTTTGATTCTCATTTTGTTTTACAAAATTTGTAACTATTATTTCACATTTAATTTAATCAAACTTTTAATTTATAAACAATTTTCTAAACATTCAAGAAATATATATAACTTCCGAAGCATTTATATTAAGATTAGTGTGAGATTTGAGTTGAGGGTTGAGTTGTGGACATTACCAACAAAAGTGTAAAATCAGAAACAAAAAGATTTCTACATTTATAACAAGAGCTATATTTAAATTAAGTTTAAATCGGGTTTTACTAGAATTGAGTAAAATGTATACCAAATGAATGGAATTTAATATAAATTATTTCATTAATTAAGAAGAAAAATATATATAAATATTATATTTGAGAATTTAAAACAGAAGAATATATAAATATAGACCTCATTATTGTGTGATATAAAAAGTAAATTAAATTTAAAGAATTATATATTGAAAAAATTAATACAAAACAATTATTAAATACATATTATGTATACATTTTACACCCATTAAGTAAAATCTGCTGCGCTTTGAATACTTTGATACTACTCTTTACAATATTTAGATTTATTTAAATGACAATTATTGATAACAAATGTTTTATTTAAGAATATTTTAGTTGTTTTTGTATGAATTGATAACTTTTTTATTAGTGTCACACGAATTTTTAAATGTAATTACATTTTTCTATTGATTACAACCAAAATGTGTGCAAATTTTTTTCAAAATCTTCATTTTCTAGATATTTGCTAAAATACTAATTGATATTAATTTTTTGAATATGAGATACAAAATGAGAAATTTCTTAATATTGGCTTTGATTTTAAGACTCTATTAACATAATTATGAATATATAAGGTATATATTAATGAATTGTAACATTTATTTTCTTCTCTCTTAACTCTTTTATTATGAAACTAAATATGTTTCACAATTTTTTGTGTCAGTCATCATAACTATAATACATTCATCACTCTTTGATTCATACATTATTTCACAAACCATTCGTTCATTTCAAACATATTTAAGACAAAAAACAATGAAAACTTCGACTAAAAAATTCAATTGTTATTTGAAGCAAATGCTGAGGATTTGGGCTCTAAATTAATATTATTATTATATTATTATTATTACTATAATTATTATTGATATTTAATTCTAATTTAAAACACAAACAAATAAATTATACATAAAAATATAATATTTGGGACAAAGCGTTAGTTTGCGTTATTTAGAGATTTATAATCTGTTGTTTGTATTTAAAAACAGTTTGAATACAAGTTTTTTTACATTTAAGTGATGCGGAAGAGTAGGGAAGGAATGACTCTTAAAGACAGAGAGAGATAGACAGCGATATATATAGAGAGAGAGAGAAGTGTTAAAAACAAGACAGATATTAATGGATATATTATAAAAAATATAAGTAAAATAATAATAGTTGTACCGAAAAAAACTACTGCTCACTATTTATGACACATCGACTACAATACTGTTAACATGTTTTTATTTGTAAAATTGTTGCATAATTTTAATTATTATATTATTTTCTCTGATGTTATCTCTTTAATCAGTTTTTGTTCGTTTTTCATATAAATAATTTTCCTCTTTTTTAGTTATCAAACACTACTCTTTTTAATGTCATTATATTATTATTATTATTATATAAGTTTATTATTATATTATTTTTCATGTCTTATTAATATTTCGTTTATCATCCCTCAAATTCTCATTGTTTTATACATAACTGTACAGAGATTTACATCTAATTAAAAATAACAAACAGAATATTTAAGAAAAGTTGAAGTTTAGGGCAATTTTCATACATAAGATAAAAACACTCTTAATATTTAAATAACATAAACCAATATTTCTAACGAATTTTCTTATTGTTTGAAATGATAATACGTTTGCATAAATCCTATTGAACTGAAACCGTAGAGATTGTACGCTATCTATCCATATGTTAATCACTTTTATTTGTTAGCGATTTATAGTATTATTGATTGATTAACAAAGGAATCGAAATCCGGCCGAAAACTCGAAATCAAATTAATTTGTTATTTAAAAATAGGCATTCAATGCATGTTTTTCTTCTAATATTTAAAAATTAGTGCCTTTTTGTACAAAAAAAGTTTGAATTAAAACAACACTTTTTGCTATTTATTAATACTTAGGGAAGAATTGTTGCCTCGATTACAACAACAAAACAAATTACAGTTATTATTAGCGCAACGACTGAATCTCAAACATAGTTTAAAACACTCTATGGTTTAAAGTTCACATATTTATGTAAATTATAACTAATATTTAAATATATATATATAAAACAAATTATTGTAAAGAGAGTTAAAAAGATTAAGTGAAAAGATTTGATAAGAATTTAAAGAAATTGTAAAAATTAAATTTAGTTTACCGTTTAATTACATATAAAAATTAATGCCATAAATAATTAAATATTCTGTTATTCTTTGCTAACCATTACATGAGATTTTTGTTCAATTTGAGAGGTTTTTGCTTTGAAATTGAAACCATTATTATATTATATAAAAATCTGTATAATTAGAGAAAATTGTTAATTATTTCTTTAACAAAAATTATTTGACAAACAGATCACAAATATTGTTGAATTAGTTTTTAAAATATGATTTTTTGTTTATAATATAAATAACACTTATTCTCAACAAATTCTCTCAAATATCCATCGGTATAACGAAACTGCCATCACTTCATATATATCTCTAATATCAGTACATTTTGTTTGTTAATTGGCTTTTAATATACATTTCGATTATATATCTTATTTATTGACTTTTATTTAATTGTTTTTTCAAATTTACATTTTATTAAAGAATTTATTTTGACAAGAATTTGTTGAGAGATAAGTTTTATTTGTATTAATCATAATCGTTAACTTCATGACGAGTTATACGATTTGTTTTCTCTATGAGTGATAAAAGAGAATATGTTTTAAATGGAAAAATTATTGAAACACAACAACAAAAAGCAAAGCAAACACTTCTGGAGATTAAGATTAAGTCAATTCTTTTATTTTTGTAGAAAACCATCGCTTGACTGACAGTAGAGTACAGACAGAGAGAACTGAGAGTACAATATATTTAAGAATTGAGTTTTTAGACAACTTTTTATCACAATTTATTATTACTTTTACTGTAATTGTTATGTAAAGCAGTATTTGTGAAAATATGGGTTCAAATACGAGTATTTATTATAAATATTTCTAAAAACTATGATAAGAATCGCCTTAAAAGACAAGCATTTTGTAAAAATACTAAAAGATTAACGAAAAGGCGATAATTAATTGAATGAAAACTAATGAGTGATGACATTATGTGATGATAATAATCATTATTATATGAATATTATTGATTGATTTGATGTTTGCTTTATATCTTTATAATAGAAATATTTGAAGTTTTGAAAAACACACAAAGAAATTGTCATTTTATCGCTTATTACAAATGAATTGTTTAAAAAACTTTATAAACAACAAAAATATAGAGAATTTTTAAGTATAAAAATCGATAACTTTTTTTAGACACTAATTATTATACAAAACATCATTTCTCTGTACGTTATACTCATTTCCGTATATAAAAAATGAAAACATTAAAAAATCTGGTGATGGATATGAAAAATCATTGCGTTTTTATTTGTGTATCATTTCATTAAATTTGATTTTTTGCAACACTTTTGTCATTTATTTCATATAAATATACATTAAATATATTAAATTTTTAAAATTAAATTAATATTATTTGTAAACAGATTGAGCGTTTAGACACGGATTTAACAAAATTTATATATTATTTTATATAATTTGTAATTAAAATTGATATTAATTTATATATTTTGTTAATAAATGAGACAATTTATATAAATTATAGACATTTACCAAATATTCGGTCCGTAATAACAAAAGGTAAACACGAAATACTATTTTATCGTTTAAATAGACTAAACTTTTAGGTCATTTGAATAATAGCCGGTCTATCTTCTAAGATAACTATCATAATGAAAATAATTTTATAATTTAAATCAACTTTCTTATGCACCACAAACAGAGTTGCATCAAGATTGGATTAGTACTTTTTACAATACATTTTTAAAGTACATCAGCCACTAATGTATCTAGGTACCCAAAAAAGTAATGCTCAAAAATGATACCTGAACTTTAACCCATATTTTTGTAATTAAAACACATGCTTATAAAGCAAAGCTCTTTGTTATACAAAGCTACTATATATTGAGATTA